AACAACTTTTTTAAAACAAAGTCACCATCATTAGCGGTTCATTGTAGAAGAATTCTATTTGGGATGCAATGCTTATTGGTGACCATTGAGACAGCTGTATAGCAGTAGTTTGTATGTATACCTATCTTTTCGGAAGGTTTTCGAATTCGATCATATCAAGACTTTTTAGGATGACTAGGTAAAGTATTACGGGCCACTAGACTATGACTTGAAAAAGAAAGGCGACGGCGCGGCTATTGGGAAGTATTATAATGACAGTAGCTGGTACTAGAGAGGCTGGGGACTGTCAAACGGTATGAGGTGTTCGCACGGGTTATATATGATAATGGATGACATAGTAGTCAGATTTTTGGTCCGAATTCGCTTTATTCCATCTTCGAGGCACTCCCGACATAAGCAGTGATATTTTTATCGCTCAGTATCACTTTATTGCATATGCAAAGTTGCCTATCTTGCCCATTCGCGCTATCTTTTGAGTTTCTCCACACTTCATAAGGAAAAATTCCCAGTGTTTTCAGGCTGAAGGACACCCGTCAAATAGCCATTGATGGGGTAAGAATAAGACGCGTCGGAATCTCTTCGCTGATGTTGCACAATGTAGTGGGCTCCGACTCTGGTTTGTACACTTGTAGAGCCAGCAACACTATCGACTCTCATGATCGAACCGTCGCAGTACATGTCGCAGGTAAACTAATTACCGGTGTTTGTTTGTTACTTGAGCGAAAGATGTCTGAGTTCATGCGAAGCACTTCGACGTACTTACGAGTATTTGTTTCAGTAGAACCCAAGCTTACTGTTCGTCCTGAAAGCAAAGCAGCACTAGAAACAGCCGATGTAGAGGTAACCACCAGGATTACCAAACTCATTCGTTTGTTTCTCAATATAATTGCTTGAAGTTCGAATGTTCATCCACGGGAAGCCCTTCGCCGACTGTATCGTGGTTCAAAAATGGCGAAGCCATTATCGCTAGTCACTACTTTGTCATCGAACCCACAAGGTGCGTCCTAAACTTCCCATAGATGTAAAGACAGT